GTAGAGAGCTACTTTGGACTATGCTCTAGCTCTCTACAAAGTTCTAAGCCATAAATAATAAAAAATAGCTGAGAAAATTAAGTTCGAAAGTAGTGGTGCACTACTAACGACGATTTCGAGGTGGTGCATTACTAAAGAACTACCCTAATCCTACTTTTAATTATTTATTTTTCCTCGTTTATTAACAGAACAAGCAAAGCCATCAGCAGCAGTTGAAACCATAACCGCACAAGTTCGCCGCACCTCGAAAGTTTCTACGTTTGGCGAGCATCCTGCACTAATCAGAAAAGAATCCATTGTTACAACCGAACTGCAATTAATTAAATCTCCTTTCAAACTGCACAAAGCTAAAATCGAACATCCACACAAAAACTTCTACGAAAGTCACTCAACAAAATTGATTCATCAAGTTGAAGATATTGATGAAAATGATGCTGAAAATCCTCAAATGCTCACTGAATATGTGAACGATATTTATAATTATCTCTTCAATTTAGAACGATTGTTTCCGATTCGTGAAAATTTCTTAGCCAATCAAACTGACGTCACGCCAAAAATGCGAACAGTTTTACTGGATTGGCTCAATGAAGTTCACTACCAGTTCTCATTGGAACTGGAAACTTATCATATGGCAGTATCGATGATTGATCGCTATCTTCAAGCAACTTCAAACACACCTCGTCGCTACTTGCAACTTGTTGGCGTCACAGCATTGTTTATGGCTTCAAAATACGAAGAATTGATGCCACCGGAAATTACTGATTTTGTTTATGTGACTGGTGAGTTCTCATCTATGAAATTACATGAAAATGATTAAAAATATTTCATTTATCAGACGACACATACAGCAAAAATCAAATCTTGGATATGGAAAAGAAAATCTTCGAAGCACTTCGTTTCAATCTCTCGAAACCGCTTCCAATTCACTTCCTGAGACGTTTCACGAAGGCTGCTGGAAATTTAGGCGATCGTCAATACATGGCTGCAAAATATTTCCTCGAACTTGCATCAATTGATTATGATCTGACGAAGTGTAATCCGTCTCAGGTAAGATTCGAAGTTTTCTATTATTTTGGGATTTTATTGAATCTCAGGGCGGTCAATCCGAAATAAAATTTCTAATCATAAAGTGAATTTAAATATTAATAAATTTAATTTCTTAAAAGGTTGCTGCTGCTTCTCTTTACCTCTCAATATTCGTCCTCAACTCGATAAAAAGCAATGATGACCTCTGGACACCAACTCTCGAATATTATTCGACATATTCAGCCGATGCTTTACTGCCGATTATGAAACGTATTGCAACACTCGCATCTGTCGCAAGAGATGCCAAACTTAGATCAGTCTACACAAAATATTCTCACAGCAATTTCAAATTTATTTCTACCTTGCCGGAGATGAGCGGATTGAAAATGTTCGAAATGGCTAATCGAGCTTAGAACTTTAATCAAAAGATCTCTGCATAGTTTAAAAACTCTTTTTTTTATTAATTCAACCCATTGATGATTTCTATATTTTTTAATTGCTAATTTTTTTTCTTAAAACAAACTTTCTCTTTCATCTATTCATTAGACTTATATGTAAGATTTGCGTATCAAAATAACAAATGAGAAAAAAAATGTTTTTGTGTCGCATCGTCTGAAAATTATTTGCGTAAACTTAAATGTGTTAACAAAATTTCATCAATTAGCATTTTTACCAATAAAGGTTTTTTTACATAAATTTTGTTCACTTAAGATGAATTTACATGTTTTCTAATTTTAAAGAATATTTCATCACGTTATGAAATGTTTCAGGCTTGAATTTCAGTTTCTATTTTCAACTCAAGTGGCTGCGGCAATGTGAAGAAACTTTTTTTTATTTTTGTTTCTTTGTGTCCGAGGAAAAATTGTAACTTGACGAGTCTGAACTGAGAAGCCGTTTAACTTAAAAGAAGACTCGCTTAAGCAGTTTAAATCACTCGACTCAATTACTCAGAAATTAAAAACCTTTCTTAGAAATGGAAATCCCACTGTAATTAATAAATAATTAAACAAAAGTCCATTGAATACTTTAATAAGTTTTCTTTTTTATTTCAAAAAAAAATTCTTAAAAATGGATTTTCTTTCAATGTGTGACGTTTACAGAAATTTTCACATTTTCCAACATTTTGTTTTGTAAAACTTTTCAACTTAAATATTCAGATATGTTCTCACTTTACATAATTGTTTTGACATGACTGTAAAATTATTCATAAGTAGAAAAGTGAAATTTATAAAATAATTCAAACCTCAAGAATGTTAAACTCTAATGAACATCATTACTTATGAAATAACAAGAGGTTTGTTGGATTGGACTGGGCTGGACTGGGAACAAAATAACCGATGAATGATGAGTGAATAAGAATGAACAGCGACTTTCCATCAATAATTAACGAACGTTGCAACAATTAAGGTTCCTTTCCACTGCAATCACAATGACATGCAAGTTTCTCTTTTCTTTCTTTATGGATCATAATCCGCTGGTTCAGTTCCAAAATAACGATCACCAAAGTTCCCTATCCCAGGAATCACATAAAACTTATCATTAATCTCCGGATCAAGTGCTGATGTTACAATCTGAACCTGGATAGTGAAATATTTAATTAAATTTAAGAATCAAATTAAGAGAATTGAAGTTTAATTACTTTGGGAAAAGCGTAAGCAATTGAATGAACACCAATTTCCGCCATTAGTAATGACACAAGCATGATGTTCTCTTCAGGCACGTCGTGATCTAATAGGACGCGAATCGCCATGATCCCTGCAGCTCCAGTCGCTACAGTTGCATCCATTAGAATAACGCGATAGTCTTTAATATCTTTTGGGAGTCTTAAGTAGTAAAGCTGTAATTAAATTCAAAATTAAATTCTTTTCTTAATTGTAATTTATTTCCATCTCACCTCAGGCTCTCCTGTTTGTTGATTTGTTTGAATTAAAATTTTTCCTATTCGAATATTCTTGCAAACTTCAGACACAGCTTGCTCCATAGTCTCACCAGCTCTCAGAATACTCACACCACAAATACGATTACTTGCCATACGCTTTCCATAATAAGTAATTCCTTGTGGCGTTTCAATCTTAACATCAATAAATGGCATCAAACTGAGGGCATATTCTATAACTAATCGTATCAAGCGATTCGAGTAGAAAATAAATTCATCTCGCGATGTATTTGCATTACGTATAAAAGTGTGTAAACCTTTAATCTACAAAAATAATTTAATTAATTAAAAATCACTTTACGAAAGAAAAAACTCACTTGAGGTGTTTCTGGCAATAAACGTAAAGTTTCTGGCATTGGCTGATTCAAAGTCTCTGAATGTGCCAAAGTTTCCCTAAGTTTAAAGCCTCTCAACTGTAATTGTGTGTTTACATGTTGAACAACTAATTGAATAGCAACTTTATTGTCGCCACCACGAGGAACGATGATATCAGCATGCGCCATTGTTGGTGCAATGTAATTGGAATATGACGGCTTAACCATTGTTGAATATTGTTTTAAGACACCGTCAAGATCACGGCCACGTTGTGTGATATCTCTGAAAGTATAATTAAAAGTGTTACACATGATGAGCTTTTAGAAAGTAATTAAACTGACCTTTTAAGACGACGTGCTAAACGAATATCGGAATCAGTGTCAACAAAGATCTTCATATCGAGCATTTTAAGCACATCAGCACTGTGAAATGTTAAAATGCCTTCAAAGATAATAACATTTGCTCCGTACATTGTTTTCGTTGTAGCTTCACGAGCATGTGTCACAAAATTATAAACAGGAACTTCAACCTTCCGCCCTTCTTTCAATTTCTTCAGAACATCAAGCATGAGTTCAAAATCAAAAGCGTCTGGGTGATCAAAGTTATATTCATTACGTTCCGCCGCCTCATGTTGCTTCTTATTTAAAATTTTATAAAAACAATCCATTGAAAGTAACGTCACCCACTGAACATCAAGACTTTCAATTATTTTTTGAGCGACCGTCGTCTTCCCACTGGCACTTCCACCGCAAATACCGATTATGAAGGGTTCAACTTGTTGTCCCATCGTATTGTACCATGGAGGTCTCCCTGAAATTACAAATGAATAGGACGTTAATCGTTATTCATAACATGTTTAAACGCGACATAACAACAGTTTCAAATATTATTATTAAAGTTTCAGCACGCACCAGCTGTGTAAATTGTTCGATTGTTTGAGAATCTTATAATTGCTTCATTCGGTCTGATTGTATTTTGGCTTGTTGATGTTGTTCTTTGTCGACGGGGACGATCGCGACGTGATGCTGATCCTACACGATTTCTAGGAATTGTCGTGGGCGATGCAGGCAATGTCGAATGACATTCTCCCTCAAATCCACTGTCATGCGAATAAATTGTGCCATTGTCTGTCTCGGGACGTTCATTTGCATCACTTTTGTTTATAAAAAATATATCAAATTTCATTTTAATATAAGTTAAGAAACCAGAGAAATTAAAAATAGCAAAAACTTCTACGTAAAGGTCTGGAAGGTCAATGCCACTAATAAATTTAATATGAAAAAACTAAAGAGACGATGACAGAATAAGAAACTTGTTTTCACTTATGAATTAAAACAAATTGCACTCCACGTTTTGAAACTTAAGTCGCACATTTTATTTCTATTTGTGTCGTGATAAAGAATTTGTCAAATCCATAGTGGTGACGAAAAAGAAAGAACGTGAAAAAACTGATAAAAAAAATTCTGCCGAATTGGCAAATATTAAGTAGAGAAAAGTATAAAACATGTGCCCTATGACGGAAGCATGATTTGTGTTTCTTCTTATTGCGTTTTATGCGACAGGAAAAACTATTTTCACACACAACCGGTAAATTGACCTGATTACTAACTCAGATTTCAATGCACTATGTGGAAATGTTTATGCAAGTGAACAACGCGAATATACTGCCCTTGCTATGTCTAGTTTTATTTTATTTATCTATTTTTTTTTCTTTTATCGAAACTGGTTCTGACACCGTCATCAAAAAGCTAATTCACTTCCTTTTCCAACAATATGTAGCTAAAACTTTCTAGATTTGCAAATCAAATTATAATTCAGTTACACGTTCACGTTAAACAAATATCACATGAAACATAATGAAGAGTACAATTCATAATTGATTAATCAGCATGTCTCGCAATGTGGACTTTTCTTTCATGGTTATTTTTAGAGACGAATTTAAAGGAAATGATGAGATGATTCACAATTTTCATGTGAGTTTTCCTTTTGGAAAATGTGACTTTCCTCGAGGAAAAATCTTTCAGGTTATTTGAATGTTTATATTAAAGATTTATTGATGATCAATTTGGTTCGAGGAAATAAAATTTCAATTAAAATAACACAAAATTATATTACGTCTTTCATAAGCATTAGATTTTCTTTTATTCTTAGAAAAAGCTACACGGAAAACTACAATTCTAAGAGCACACCTTTCTGAGCTGCACGAGGATGGACACACAACCTCGACAGATTGTGGGCTAGTTTGATTTTCCGACATTTTTTTGGCTTAGATTCTCAACTTTTCTCTTAAAAAATTACAAACGAACAATAAACACTTCTTGATGTCGACGGATAGAAATTCACTATGAAGATTTTCGAACATGATTGTGGGACGCATTCGAGTTTTCGAAAAATTTTATAATGTTTTCTATCGTGGTGAGTTTCTCATTAAACATTAGAAATAAGTGTTGAGTTTCTTCTTCTTTCAGGCAATTTTACTGATAACAGGAATGTTGAAGATAATTACTGAGAAGTAGCAAAATCTTTATTAGCAATGCAATATAATAAAAGTGTAACAAAATAATCAAAGTTTAATAAAAACTTTTCTTTTTTAATTTATAAGTATCATATACGAGATATCATGAAATTAATTTCAACTTTTTCATAAACAAACATGATCACATGTTGTTGTTGAAGTTGCCTTAGACAAGTCTGAGCACGTTAAAATAAGAGTTTATAAAATTCAGAAATGGGAAATACCAATGATGCAAACAAATATCTCAAATCACATGGTAAAAACAGCTGTGGTTGGCTGTTGTTGCCGGCATGCCGAATAAATAAATTTTATATGCATTAACGGTTGTATTGGCGCCTATGTATCACATGAACTTCATACACATTCTTCTCGTGCTTTAGCAGTGATGATGAAGTTATTCAGTGACGATCATTTGAGATCAAATTTCTTTTTTTATACATTTTGAAGAGTATCTTTATTTGTCTTGTTTTATAAACAAGTTTCACTTACATTTTCGTATTTTTTTAGTCTGAAGAACAACCAATTAAGAACAAAATTATTCTATAAATTTGAATAATATCAAGATATATGTTTAGTGCTGCAAAAATATATTCTTCTGGTGAAATTGAATATTTATGCTTGCCACCTTGGAGGATAATAAAATTGTCATTGTTTATTTATTTGACTGCGATCATTTTTTTCTAAGTAATCAAACTCACCCATCATCATTTGTATATCATAAACCAAGTAAATACAGAAAATTAATGCCACTACCGATGCAATAACAATAACTAAGATTTCACTACGGAATATTATTCCAAAAATCAAAAGCAATAAACAAACAATTAGTGAAACAAATAAAATTCCTCCCATTGTTGTGAACTGCAATAAATTAAAAAATTCTAAATAATTTTATCACATTGTGATCTATCTTCAACTTACGTCCCATTTAGTTTGAAAGGCAAAGATCGTCAATGCAATTGTCACGACTATTGTTATTCCAATGGCCAAAACAACTTCAAAGCTATCATAAAAAACTGCAGTAACTCCCAAAAGCAACCCCATTAAAATAGTATAAATCCCAAGAAGAATAATATTTAACGGAGTTTTCCTTCTAATTTCATCGAAACATGACAAGACAATTGTGACAATAATGAAAGCTACCAGCAAGACAATCCAAAAGATAATCGCATCTTTAGCCCATCTGTTTGTTGGCTCATGGTAAACGAACCAACAAATAATCCCAAAAGTAACAAAAAGTTGAATCTGAAAGCAAAAAATTATTTTTTAAATGTAACAAAAATATGTAGAGGGGAAAAACTTTGTTCTTGACGTGATGATTATAATGTTAAGCATAAAATCAACTCACAGTTAAAATCGAAAACACTTTTTTAATAAATCCCCTACGGATTAATTGATCATCAAATTCAAATCCTTTAGCTTCTGAATCTTCTGCATCGGTATATGGTGGCTGAGGCTGTTGTTGCTGTACATGAAATATTTGTTGGGGTTGATTAGGTTGATTAGGATAATATGCAGGCTGTTGTGGGTGGTTGTTTGGATAACCCTGACCTTGCCCATTATAAAATTGATGTTGACCTTGCTGATCTAAATGAAAGATGTCAAATATGATTCATTGCTTCATAAATAATTTTATTCTAAAAGTTTATTCACTTTGGTAATTTCCACTATGTTGATATTGCATGATTTCTCTTTTTAGTTTTCAATCTTTTAGGAATAAATTCGAAAGTAAATTGCTTTCTTNATCTTTCCTATAGATCAGCAAGGTCTACATCAATTTTATAATGGTGAGTCATAATTTTTGTTGTGAGGATTCAGATTTATGTTGCAATCTCTTTTATATAAATGATGAATTAGTTTGAATAATAAATAGTAAAGACCAAAACAACGTTGAAACATAAAGATTTATGCAAGTTCTTTCACTTTTTTTAATTGAATGATATGAATCATATTGTAATAATAGAAGAAACTTCAAGTGTTCCTAAAGATGATGATTTTGAGATTAATGCTACGAAATTATATTTTCCACTTGTTTGTATTTTGCCACTGACATTCACATCAGATAAAATTTATTTCTTTAATCAATGAGTGAACTGTTTCTATTTGCCATGCCTATCGTGTCGAGACAACAGTCGAAAATTGAAACAACATCAGTATACAAGTTAAGCGCTGCAAAAATATATTCTTCTGGTGAAATTGAATATTTATGCTTGCCACCTGTAAAGATAACAAATTGTCGTTTTTTGTTGTTTTATTATAAAAATTTAAACATAAACTCACCCATCATCATTTGTATATCATAAACAATCAAAATACAGAAAAGCAAGGCCACTACTGCTCCAATCACAATTAATATAATTCCACTACTGAAGATTATTCCAAAAATCAAAAGGAATACACAAACGATTGCCGAAGCGAGCAAAATTCCTCCCCAAGCAGTGAACTGAAAAATATTTTAACAAAAACTTTAAAATTTGTAAACTGTGAAACATTTTCAACTTACGTCCCATTTTGTTTGAAAGGCATCATCATCATCATCAGATCAAGGACAGGCACCTATAGGCCAATCCTGGCCTTATAGGAACCACCATCAAATGCCGAAGGATTTGAGGGCAATGGTCGCATAAGGGCACGTGAAAATGACAAGGAAAGGCAAAAATAGTTAGAGCGATGGTCACGGCTATTGTTATTCCAATGGCTAACATCACTGCAAAGCTTTCATAAAAGGCTGCTGTTACTCCCAAAAGCAACCCCATTAAAATAGTGTAAATGCTGAGACAAATGATGTTCATTGGAAAATTCCTTCTAAATTCAATAAAACATCCTAAAATTATTGTAACAACAACAAGGGCAACCAACAAGATTATCCAAAATATGAATGCTTCTTGGGCCCATATGTTTGTGGGTTCATGATAAACAAACCAACAAACGATCCCAAAAGTGACAAGCAGTTGAATCTGCAATAAGAAAAGAAAGTTAAAATGATTTTTGAATGAAATCAACTTACAGTCACAATCGAAAACACTTTTTTAACAAATCCCTTCCGGACTGATTGATCATTAAACTCAAACCCTTTGGCAACTAAACCTGGTGGACTAGGGTATGTTGGTTGTTGTTGTTGTTGTTGTACATGAAATATTTGTTGGGGTTGTTGAGGTTGATTAGGATAATATGCAGGTTGTTGTGGGTGGTTGTTTGGATAACCCTGACCTTGCCCATTATAAAATTGATGTTGACCTTGCTGATCTAAATGAAAGATGTCAAATATGATTCATTGCTTCATAAATAATTTTATTCTAAAAGTTTATTCACTTTGGTAATTTCCACTATGTTGATATTGCATGATTTCTCTTTTTAGTTTTCAATCTTTTAGGAATAAATTCGAAAGTAAATTGCTTTCTTTATTTTTTTATTTTAAAATTAACAAGAATTGCGCTAGCTGAAACATTAACCGAACTTCACTCAGCCAAATTTATAAATATCAAAAGCAGATTTGGAAAAATATAAAACAGATAAGATTCTGCTTTCTTTGATAAGATAACATTTAAAAAAACTATTATTTGATGGAATGAATCATCTTTGACATCTTTCATATAGATCAGCAAGGTCTACATCAATTTTATAATGGTGAGTCATAATTTTTGATGTGAGGATTCAGATTTATTTTGAATAATAAATAGTAAAGACCAAAACAACGTTGAAACATAAAGATTTATGCAAGTTCTTTCACTTTTTTTAATTGAATGATATGAATCATATTGTAATAATAGAAGAAACTTCAAGTGTTCCTAAAGATGATGATTTTGAGATTAATGCTACGAAATTATATTTTCCACTTGTTTGTATTTTGCCACTGACATTCACATCAGATAAAATTTATTTCTTTAATCAATGAGTGAACTGTTTCTATTTGCCATGCCTATCGTGTCGAGACAACAGTCGAAAATTGAAACAACATCAGTATACAAGTTAAGCGCTGCAAAAATATATTCTTCTGGTGAAATTGAATATTTATGCTTGCCACCTTGGAGGATAATAAAATTGTCATTGTTTATTTATTTGACTGCGATCATTTTTTTCTA